GGAGGGCTGCAGGCTGCAGCGAGTGAGCCCCGGAGGGTTCGCGGTAAACAGATTGAAGTGGCAGGGAACAAAACTGATCGCACCGATCCCTCTCTCAGAATGACTAGAGGCGGAGGAGGCAGGACCTCGAAGTCGGTGGGAGTCCCACACATGCAGAGCCACGTCCCTGCTGGCACACCCTGAGAGCCTGCCCCAGTGCCTTGTCCCACTCCCTCACTCCACAGAGTCCTGGACTCTCACGTCAGATGGCTCCGCAGCCCCAGTCCCCACCCCCCCTGGACGGGGCGCACACCATTGGCTGCTCCAGCTCTCGGGGCGGGCATCTTCGTCTCCCACTGCTGTGAGCTAAGGGGGGCCTGTGTGTACAGGAGCCACCGGCTAGGAGGGCGCCCGGCTGTCGAAGTCGAGCTGCCCCCCAGGGTCTCCAGTGTTGCCCTCATCTCCCATGGAGCCAGCCGCTGTGGGCTTGAACCTCTGACCTTGCTGCGAGCAGCCCAACCACTTAGCCCGGTGTACCACCAGGGCTCCTAGGCAGGAGTGTGGGAGACTGCTTCCCACCCCATTGTTTCAAAAGGGGTTTCCAGTCGAACTAGACCCTCAGAACCACCCAAGTGCGCACTTCACAAGGGCTGCCCCCATGGCCTCAGGCCAGCATCCAGTGCTCTAAGATGCACTGACCACACTCAGGACAGACTGGGCAGACTCCTGGGGCAGCCTTGCCACCCTCCTCCTCCTGCTCCCCCTCCCGTGGCTCCTGGACAGGCCTGGCTGGTCATAGCCCTGCACCGTCTCCCCATCCTCAGCGGGTCATTCCAGGTTCCCCGTCAGCATTCCAAGTGCTATGCGGAGAGTTCTAGTGAGCATTGTTCCTGTGGCTTTACTGTGATGTGGCCAGGACTTGGGAAGGCCAGTACCATCAGTGGTACCAGAGCCCCGCCTTTGTGTGACGTCAGTCACAACTGCGGGTCCAATGTCTGCATGAGATAGCTTACCTGTTTTTAAGATCAGTCCAAAATCATTCACAGGGTGCTTCTCAGCGAAGGAGCAAGCACATGGTCCTGAGAGGTGCCCTGGTAGCACACTGAGTTAAGTGCTCCGTTTCCTACCTCAACTCAGCAGTTTGAGCCCACTGTCCACTCCAGGGGGGAAAGATGAGGCAGTCTCCTTGTAAAAAAAGATTGACATCTTAGTAAACCTTTTGAGGCCATTCTGTTCTGCCTTATAAGATCGCTGTGGAGTCAGTTCCACTAAAGGAGTTTACTTTTGATGTGTATATTTGTATGTTCAAGAAGCAAAGTAAAAAGTTTGTAATCCTAAAATTTGAGCTCGTGTCACTAAGGACAGGCTAGTCTGCCTGGATGCCCACTGCCCTCCCTGGTGCTCCTTCTCCTGTGTGCTGCTGGGCCCCACTGCACTGCCTGGCCAGATACACCGGGAGCATGGCATGTGCAGTGGGCAGATCCACTGTGGGGGCGTGGCATGTGCAGTGGATGCAGCTGCAGCCCATCCAGAGTGTGGAGCCACCTTCCCATCTGGTACGAGGCCCTGCCTTCAAAGGACCTTCCTCCCTTCTCTGATTGACAGTGCTGCTCACCCCACCCCACCCTGGCGGGTGGCTGGTGCCAGCCCATTGGCATATTGTTTTGAGCACGTGGGCATGGTGGACCTTGTTGGCTTTGTACAAAGGGCATCGCATCCACATCGGCTGCCTGAACGCTCTTCTGGGTCCAGAGGTTTAGCCACACGTTCAGTTGTGGGATTTGCCCTCAGGAAAAATAGCCTAGCCAGTTATTAGAAAGACAGCTGTCTGGTCTTCCTCTGTATCTGGCTGCCTCTGTTACAAAGAAGCCCAGGTGTCTCCCAGGGGGCTTCTCGGTGACATAGGAGCTGGGACTGAGGAAAGAAGAAGCCGTAGGGATTGTCCTGGGCTTTGTCCAGAACTGGGCAGAGGTGAGAAGAGACCTGGTCCCCTTTGCAGACAGGACGCGCGCGAGTGGAGGAGGGAGAGTGGTTTACAGGCGGGCTGGAATCAGAAGGACCGGGCTGCTCACAGCAGCAAGGACAGCGAGAGGAGGAGAAGAGCTGAGAGGCCCGGCACGCCCAGCTTGCCTCCCCATGCCAGCAGGGCTGCTTTGCTTCCTCGGTGTAGCACTGCCTGTGGATGCACTCAGAGCTGTCCTCCAGAAAAGAGAGCTCAGCTTCTCCCCACCTCCTGAGCGAAAAGACCTCGAGCCTGCACTGAGGAAGCTGCCACCTATTTGCCTGGGGTGCTGAGAGGGCACTGGGAACAGCTGGAGAGGATTGGGGCTCCAGGGACCCTCCACTACCCTATGGAAGGACCTGGGCTCTCGGAGCCCATCATCCCTTGGAGTTCTGCTGCCTGTCATGGCTTAGAGAACCTGATGGTTATGCCAAGCACCAAGTGTTCAGACTGTCTGCTGACGGAGGGAGGGGGCTGAGTGAGGCCTGGGCAGGATGGTGCCTGGCAGCAGTGCAGTGGAAGCTCAATTCTCATGAGAAAAGGGCTCATCCATGCTGCGCGTCTCTGGATGAACACCTAGAAAGGGAAGAGTGAGTTCCAGAAGCACCTGCTCTTGCTGAAGGAGCCGGTAGGCTGGTGTCTGCACGCATAGGCTCCTCCTCCTAGACCTCACCGTGAGCATGACTGAGGAGCACAGGGAATCCAGACAGAAAACCCAAGGCCGTTTGTGGGCTTTGTCTGGTTTGACGCTTGCTGAGAAAGGAGTGAGTGAGAACCTATGGTGAGGTGTGCCCTCTGCAGTCAAAGGGGTCCTTGGGTTGAAAGGGCTTTTTTGGCCCCAGTGAGTGATACAGACGGCACCGGCGGG